AAAACTTAGTTTTGAACGAAAAATGCGCCCGCCGCGTACCGCCAAAGCCTCGAACCTTGGGCGAGGCTGAAATTTCATGCGGGATGGTCGGGCTGGACTAGGCCACCCACCATGGCAGGGGGGGGGGGGGTGGCCAGGCTGAAGCGTGTCTGCAAGGCGGGTTTTTAAAGGGATCTGAACGCCCTGAGGCTGGATGCCTCGGCGAATTGTAGGCCTCAGCCGCCCATGTGTGGATCATGAGCTTTGTCTTTGGATGACCGGCTGGGGCCTCTCCAACTCCCCGAGACATCTGCATGCTGCCGCCAATCCTACTGTGACTTTGCTGCCGGCACGCGATTTCTAATGCTGCTGCTATTGCTACTCGTCGCTGCCACTGCCCTGCACCAACCCTCGCCGACGAGCTTCGTCCAGCCTTCTCAAGTCCTACCGTAGAAAACAGCCAAGACATCCATTGCGACATGGACGAGATATCACATCACATTATCAGAAACCTACATTGGACCTACATGAGATGCAGGCGCCTACAATGACAAGATGCTGGACCGACGCGCGTTTTCGTGCATGGGGTAGTGATAGTTTGTTTGTGAAGTTGCCCCAAACACCTGCAAATGTGTGGAAGTTCTTCAATCTGAATGTGTTTGTAAACTACTATCAGGGAGCACCCACCAAGCCAAGAAGGGAGAGGGGATGATGATGATGATGATGATGAGGTTTGGTCGTTTTGTCTCATCTTTAAGGTGGTGGAGGTGTCCATGCCCCTGGGCGTGGACTTTGAGGAGCGCACTGGTGGCGACATCTACATCAAGGCACGACAAAACGAAGAGGGAGAAGAGGGGAGAAGGGCAGGGGGGAAGCCAGAGAGCTGATTTCCTTATTGTATTCTTTATTGAGGAGGTGGACAAGTCCAGCGATGCCTGGGCTCAAGGGGCCCTGGGCCCGAGCTGCTAACTGAAATAATAAAGAGAAGGCTCTTTCTTGGGTGTCGTGTTGGGAGATGTTGAGACGAGGTCCGGCCAGGGGCACAGCTTGCAGCTTGGCGGCAAAGAGAAAGGACAGCTCTTAGAGAATTTGTCGCTCGGTTTGGGTCTTTGCAAAAGCCCTGAGGTCATGATTAGCGCAACCTTCGGAGATGAGATGTGGAACACCCAAGGTGTTGGCATGACCCAGGCCGTTTCGAGCCCTGTTTGTTGAGCGCGTAGAGACTCGTAGAGAGATGTGTAGAGCAAGCCTAGGGCCTAGCAAGCCTGCTCACAGTTCCTCACGGTGCTGAACTCCCGTTTCGGATCTTCCATGAAGCTGGCCCTGGCCAAGGAAGACCAGGCAGGAAGCAAGTTTCGAAAAGGAAGGTCTGTGATTCGTAGTGATGGTGGAAAAAGTGTGTTTTTGTGTGTGCAGAACGTCCTCTCCGCCTTCCTGGACGCCTTCAAGGGCAAAGCGTCTGAGAGCCAAGGCAGTCGATCGAGTTGAGAGGAGTTGAGAGAAGTTTTTTGTGGAGAAGTTCATTCTGAAATTTGCTTTAAACTTGTTGTGTTCTTGTTCTCTCTCTCGCTTTGTGTTGTCCAGGCTCTCCGCAGGAAGAGGAGCGGAAACAGCAAAACCTCGAGCCGGGGACTTGGGGAAATCGGGAAATCCAAGATCGGCAGAAGCCCAGAAGCTGAGGGCCATTTTCGATGAAGAGGAAGAGAAGCTGCAGAATGGCGGTGGAATGTGGAACCCGCCGCTTGCCTTGTCTCAAGCCCATCGCATAGCCTCACACCGAATCTTTAGAAATCTGAGATCATCTGAGGTTCCGTTGAGGATTTACGGATTTGAGGATTTAGAGCAAGCCCGTTTCAAGGACTGCACTGAATGCTGAAAGCAGCAGCGCAGGAGTTTTCGCGGTTTTCGCTGGCAAGACTTTGCCGCCTGAAAACGAGAGGAGTGAAAATAGTGAAAACGATGCCTGACTTCAAAGACACGCAGAGAACGCGCAGAGCTCTCTCCTGAAAGGTTCCCCGCCTTTTCACTTGAGATTCTACTGGCCCGGCACAGGACCCCAAAAGCTCTCAAGTCCCTCCAGCCAAAAGCCTGGGCAATGACTTCTCAGAGTACAGGAATTTGTCCGGAACCATTCCATGATATAGGGCGGCTTTTCCTCACACGTGCTTTTTTGAAAGATAGCAAAGGGCACTTGAGCAAGCCTAGGCGAGAGGCTTCCTGAGAGGCAGAGATTCCTGGGTTTTCGTCAACTGGAGAAGATCCATTTGCTCTTGTCTTTTTGCGTCATGCGGCTGAGTGCGGTGCGGCAGAGGTCTACTGGGGGTCTTTTGGATTGAATGGGCAAAGGGCGGGTCCTACATTGCGGGAACGTAAATGTTGGGTTCTTCAATCTATGTGAACTCAAGCTTCCAGTTGTTTGGGTTGCAGCCGTAGGGTGTGGAAGTTGAAAGGTGCTCATTGTAGGTGGTTAGTTAAATTCGATGAACGAGGGAGCGTTTTGAGCCACTTGCTTCTTTTAAAAAAGGGTTAGTTAGGTTTCTTTTCGAGTTTTTCTTCGGATTTCAGCATCTCAGAGCCATGGAGCCATGGAGCGCAGCTTGCGCCAGGCGTTCAGAAGGAACCCCGCTGCCACAGCTGCCAGGGCCACGGATCTCTCCCTCTCCAAGCGCTCCTTCAGCTTCCGCAAGAGCACCGCCCACAGTTTAAAAGAGGAGAGGAGGTGAGAGGTGAGGTCGGTGAGGTGAGAGGATGAGAGGAAAAAATCAAGGAATGAAGCAGACTTTTGATTTCGGAGAGGGAGACGGGGAGAGTGTCTCTTTGTGAGTGCCTGCTCCGGCTCTCAGCTCAGTCTCGCTCGGAGCTTGCTGCAGCGACGCCTGGGCCTGGAGTCCAGCTCAAGCCACGGCTGCGGCTCCTCCCTGAACATGTTAGCTGTCAGCATTTATAGCAATCAGCGTTCGGCGTCCTCTCCTTGAACTCACCGACGGGAGTGAGCCGTGAGGAGCCTTTGGCAGCCTTCCGGCTCCACCCGGTGCCTGCAGCACCGCTGGTCGCCTTGAAAGAGAGCAAAGGAAACCCAAACCGTTTGGGGCCCCTGAAGCAAAATGCAGCCTGAAAGCCCATGCAACTAAGCTAAGCATGTCTGTGTTCACTTTTGTAGGAAAGCCCTTAGAGCATCCTTAGCGAAGAGCCCAAAAAGCCTCTTCCCTGAAGGTTCCTTCGGCTTCGTCCCTTCGTCCTTAGAGGACACGTCCCTTCTGTCTAAGGCTTCCTTCAGTTCAAGGCCGCCCAAGGCCGTGACGACCTTCACGCGCCATTCATGCGCGTCGTAGCCCTGTGTTTCTGTTCGTAAACACCGCTTCTTCTGAAGCATGAGCAAAGCAGGAGCGTAGCGTCCTAGCATGTCGTAGCGTCAATCCTTCTACGCGCCTCTTGGATTCCAGACAGCTAGACAGCTCCGTGGTCCTCAGGTCACCGGGATCCTCAAGATCCTCAAGATTCCAATTGCTTTCTCTCGACTGAGCTTCAAAAACACAGCTTCAAAATTTCCAAGAGGAAGCAAATAATCTCAGATCCTTTGCCCGTCATTACCCAGCTAAGACGCAGAGCACAAAGCTGCGCGAGCATGCGCGAGCATGCGCGAGCTTTGTTTTTTCATGCGTTGTGCATGCGAGAAAAGTATTTAAGCGGCTCCGCGAGCCCCACAGACGTCCCTTTCAGGTGACCTGCCTGTGTGGTGAGCTGAGTGGGGATGCGGCCTTGTGCAGTGCGTAGGATTCGTGAAGGCCTCGACTCCCTCGACTCTCGACATCCAGCGTCCAGCGGCTCCAGCCTTTCTTAGCTTTGCACCAGCATGCGCCATGCTGCAGAAAAGCCTGGGATCAAGCTTGGGCTGCTAGTCCCCTGGGTTCCGATGTCTGCAGCCTCAGCGGCTCAGCGAGGTGGGCGGCGGGCGTCCTCTCGTCTCTTTGCTCCAGCGCCTCAGCATGCTCCCTTGGCGCTTTCTCCTTTCCCGTCCCTTTTCCTGTGACTTCCTGCCTTGCCTGGCCTTCTCCACTTCTCCTCAGCTCGTGTTTGTGCCGCACGCTGAGCACGCTCAGCTCGAGGCTCGAGGCTTTGCCTCTCCTTGAGGCATTTGAAGCCAATGCGTCACACAGCTGCTTGAGTTGGAAGTCCCTGGGTCATTGTAGCCGAACTGGTCTAACATGTCCTCTAGCCATCAGTGAAGACAGCATCCTGTGAAGCACAGCTCAGTTGCTTAAAGCCACTAAGCCATTGCGTTAGGCCACCGCTGTTACCGCTTTTGCAGCTTCCGCTTGAAGCGGCCAACCTTTCACGGGCTTCAAAAAGGAGGACCTTCTTTTTCTTTTAACTCAAAGGCAGGGCAAGGAGTACCTGCTGGCCCTTTCCAGACGAACCTTGTCCATTTCTCGCTCCTTTGTGAAACCCCTCTTGTGCTGCGTGCCTTGCTTGCCGCACTGCTTGCCTTGCGCGCTGATTGCCTGCAAAAGCTGGTGGGAGCCCAGTCATTTCAGGCTTGCACTTGCAAAATTTGCAAATGCAGGGAAGGTGCGGCGAGTGGTGTCTAGTTCCAGACTTAAGGAACAGTTGTGAGACGAAAGAGAGTGAGCTTGCTACCTCTTCGCAGGGGATCGAAAACGTGTTGTCGCTGCTGTGAGCAATTGTGTGTAGAGCCGTGTGCAGGGTGTGCAGCCTGCTTCCTCCTCCAGCTCAGCAGCTCCTTGGACGCGGTGGACTCTGTCCTCCTCTTGGCCCGGGCAATTGCATCCTTGCCAAGGCAAAAGCTGAAGCAACTTGAGTTGGCGGCAAGAAATAAGTGCACAAGTTCTGCTTCGGCACGAGGCTTCGGCCTCCTGCCTGCTCATTAAGCCTGGTGAAGGGAGGTGAAGGCTCCATGATGCCTGCAGTTTGCAATATGACAAGATGTACTACAACGTGCAGTGCAATGTGCAGTGCAATGTGCAGTGCAATGTGCACAATGCCTATGCCTATGCCGCAGGCTGTCAGCTTTGCTGTCAGCTGTGGCTTGGATGGGGCCATTTGGGTTGAGATTGCTTGGCATTGCTTGGGACTTGTAGAGTTCTACGACCCCTAAAAAGTCTTCAGAACAGAATCACGCTTGGACGATTTCGGTGTCTTCAAAATAAGGTGGGGGCTGTGGCCGTCGTTGAGAGAGCTTTGGCTTCAAAGCTCAAAGGCCGTTCTTTGGACTCTCCAGGCCCAAACCGTATTGAACGACTCTTTGAATGGGCTCCCGGGTTCCTCTGAAGCTCCGACGGCTCCCACACGGCCCTGTATCCACACCGTAGCCAGGCGCAAGCCACGTCTCCGTAGACCTGCCTCACACCTGCTCAAGCTCAAGCTGCTCAGCCTGCAGGGGCCGAGACGGCTGGGGACAGTCAGGGCTCAGGCGGTGCCTTCAGATCATGTGAGTCATGTGACTTGACCTTCGGGGCTTCAGTTCCCCAGGTGAAGCGCCTGCGGCCCGGCCTCCGCAGCACTTGAAATTCCCAAAGAAGGAAGGCAAACGCAAGACTCGCAAGACCTTAAGGAGCAAACGAAAGCATAGCACCCAAGTTCAAGCTCACAAGGTTGATAAGCTTGCTGGACCTGTTTTGGGCGCTTTCCAGGTCCACGATGGCTGCTTGGTGGCTTCTCATGGCCCCACTGTGAACAGCTGAACCACTATTCCGGCCATTCTGTTTCTTCGAGCTGCTTCACTCTTCAGATAGTGAAAGGTCACGAAAAAGGGGATCGTGGAAGCTTTGTCTGAGCTTCTAAAAGAGCGGAGTGTCTAAATGACCATGGGAAATCTGGAGAGCAAGCAGGCATGGCTTTTTGAAGCTTGGTTAAATGCACAGCATTTGCTGCATGAGGTTGTCCAGCCAAACACTTGTTGGTGTAGGTCCTTCTTGTTGAGTGGTTTGCAACTTCAGCTGCGGCACCGGCGTCATAGGTGTTTGGCCACCCGCCCCATGGTCCGTCTGGCCTACATGTTGACTCCTGGCAAGTGAGGAAGGAGGTCCGAAGGTTTGGATAGGTTTAGAGGGAAATAAGGGATAGAGCATCCTATGAGGTTCGACCAGCACCTGCTGTATTCATGCCCAGGTCCGACAGGTCCCACAGGTCCCACAGGTCCCACGCGTTTCTTGAAGCTCCAGGTACCAAAGGTGAGCTGACACTGTTGAGTTGTAGGCTCTGAGTTAAGTAGCTTGAGATCTTCCGTTTCAGAAGCGCCTTTGGGCTGTTTGCATATGAAGGCACGAGTTATGTGCACGCAGCTCGCTGCCATGGCGCTCTCTTGCCATCTCTGTGGCCTTGCGAGCATCTGAATCTGTGAGCTGAAGCGGACCTGCTTCCCAGTCCCCAGCCCTATCCGCACCATCCGCACCACTGTCAGCACTGTCAGCACTGTCAGGGCAGTGGGCAGCTGCATCAGACGCCGTGCGCACCTGTCACACTCTCCGAGTCTGCGGTGCAAGTGCCACCAAGCGCGCTCACATCACCGAAGTTGCCCAAACTCTTTGAACACGCGCAGTCTTGCCGTTTATGTCCTTTGGCCCGTGCGGTCACCAGCATGCTCAGTATGCTCATGCTCAGCCTGCACGTGCTCCGCGCGCTTCTCAGCGTTGCCTCGAACGATCGTGAAAGCCATCAGCACACGCTTACTTGCCCCCTCTAGGAATCCAACGTCACTTGCCAGGCAATGCTGGAACCCAGGCCCCAGGCCATCTTTCTTCCCTTTCACATTTCGTGGCTGACCCTACAGAGCGTGTTAAAGAGATCTTTCAACGCC